AATGAAATTCATGAATACATCAATAGAAAGGTTCATTTTCTGAAGAAAAAAACTGCAATAAAGGTAAGTAAAAAAACCGCTGACCCTTGCTAGTATCATTTATACTGTTTAAACGCTAATGAAATTATTTTATTGTCACAACAAAGGTAAGCAAGCAAACCACTGACTCTCTAACACCATGGTAAAACAGAATGTACCTGTCATCCATCCGAGCCTGAGCTTCAACATAGGACAATGCTGCAGAAGACTTGATTATGCTCTTTGTAAATCTCGTTGAAATAATCTCAGCTTCAGGGTTCATTTCCTAAATATATGAATTATGCTTAGGCTTGCTAATATGTGTAATATAAACTTTTGAGCCTCATAGCGACGATTGAAAATGGATAAAGCATACCCAAATAACCGAGAATGCAAGCCTTTCCACATCAGCTCTAAGCGAGCAAATATCTGCAAGGAAAACCATGTTTCTTGAGTGCACTGAAAATCTAGCATTAAGGGATTGTATCCTGTAAGAAGATGTTACCTTCTGTTAGAGGCTTGGGAAGCATGTCAATACGGCGCTCAACAAGGTAGACAGATGTGCCTCTTTTTGATGCCTCATCATCCAAAGGAGTACCAGGGTGAACAAAATTTGTTACATCCGCAATGTCTAATTAAACATGGTCAAGGATAAGCATCAAAAATTCACTCCCGAGATAAGAAGAGAATACAATGGAACTAGCCAATAATTCTGGAAGACACTTAATACGAAAAAGATAAAACAGATCACCTCCAAAACATTTTCAGCACTAGATAATTATGATAAAATCGAAGCAAAACGATATAACAAGAGCCATTTCACAGCTATGGTTAGAATAACACCACAAAGTGATTTGTAACTTTTTGACTCTTGACATGCCCTAAATTGTGAGCTCAGTCGTAAATAAATGAGATTCTGGCTCTAGGATACGGACTCCAAGCTCAAAGTTCCCGTTTGGAAGTGATGTACAATGCAATGCATCATCAATATCCTTGCAACCTGTTAGCATCATAAACAAGTTAATATGATTGTACACAACCAACTACAGACTCTGAAAGAAATTTAAATTGGCTAAACTCATATATACTGTCAAGTGAGTAAAGCTTTAGGTACATACCAGGAGGATCCACACTAAAGACAAGCAAATGTCGTAAATCTTGCCTAACAGGATTGGATACATCTTCAGGAGATACAGACCAGGGTAAGGGTGGCAAGCATGCCAGAACTTGAGAAGTGAATGGCGAGTAGTCAACATCGTTCTCTATCAAGACAACCTGTATCATCCACAAGAAAGAGCAACGATGTTAGTTCCAAATTCCAATTATCTATGTCATTTACTTCCTTGAAAAAAAAATAAACCAATATACTTGTCCTAATCTTGCCCTCCCACTTCATCCCAGTAATTTAATATAATGCCCCTACCTCTGTTTCAGTTTCCCTGTCACCTATTTTCCCGATTGGTCGGACATAATGGCCAGAAGGATATCGAGATTGACGGTCCCAAGAATCAACTGCCACTACTATCCTCATATCCAAAAGGTTCTGAAGCTGTCGAGTATTAATGCGAATCTTGGGAATTCTGCGATCTTTAGAAACAAATAAAGCATGCGCCGTTCCACCACTACCAGCAGGTAGTGACATTGGTTCAAGAGATCCACAATACCTGCATGATATCAATGCAAATTAGGAATCGTCCAGAAACGCTTGAAACAGACTCAAATAAGACAAAATTAAGGAAAAGCGATGCATAATTGCACAGACAAGAGACACTGAGACCAAGAGAATTAAAGATAAACGTCAATTCAAATATTTACACCAGAAACTGACACGTCTAAGGAGAGTATATCGGCATGTCCATTAACATGATCTCATATGATGCTTCACTGTGTTATTAAGAAAAAAAGCAGCAAGAAGATAGGGATAATCAAATACGATCAAAATCAAGAAATCAACTCACGAATGCCAATTTCTACGGATAATACCGACTACACGGCCTGAAGGACGAGCAGGGATAGCATTTTTATCCCCAGAAGTTTCTTGGGGCAAATTTGAGGTTCTAGGAGCATCGTCAGCAGTGTTGGGAGCCAAATGAACAGTATCGTCCTCTTCCTCATCTGCATTTGAATTTGATATGTGAAAGAACGATAAGTTTTACACCACTTCATGCAAGCAGATAAAGAGTTTAAAATATATGTAGATATTTAAAGAAACCTTCTTCAGCTATAGATAATGCCTTCTCCTCTTGCCATTGATCGCGAGGCAAGAGTTCTACAGCAACAATATCACCATCGAAAGCCCTGTTCATGTTACTGCGCCCATAGATAATTATCTCCTCGCCAATGCTCTCGCTTCCAACATAAGCTTCAAAAGGATTGAAACGATTGACACGGAGTTTTCCTTGATGATATATTCCACGGTGTAGGCCAGCAGTAATCTCAGACATGGGCTTATGCTGCAGGCAAGAAAAAAGAGCATAGTTATAGGATACGAAAGTTGTTTGATGGCAGTATCTGACACTGAAAAACAAGTATGTTTATCTCATTACCTCTAGGTATACAAGCTTCCTCTTTGAAGGTCTGGAATCATCTGCATCTTCCATGGTTACGTCTTCAGTGGTTGGTTGCGCAAGCAGATCCAGCAATTCAGGTTGTCCAATTGATTTTACATAAGCCTCAACTAATACAGAAACACTCATTTATAAATTTCTCCTACATGTAAAACCGAGCTTTGATATCTCGAATGCGGAAAGTAAGACAATTCCTATGGTGCAAATGATGATTTACATACTTGTCTCTGCAGATATTCCCTCCTCAGTGGCCTTCCGTTTATTTTCCCTGTCATTAGTTACAAGCAACACCTGAGATGAATCCCCTAGATGCTTCTGGTACCATAGCGTAGCGACCCGAATAGCTGAATTCCAGATAAAATAAAAAATTGCATATCAGAAGATGGATTTGAAAGCAATATATTTTATTTTATATGTACTGATACATCATCAAGGAAGTAACAAGATGTTAGCAGATGAAGAAGGTAGCAGATAAAACCTCTATCGTTGTGGTCATTGGCAGTCTCTCTCTCCATGGCCTGCACATAAGTGTCCCTGTGGAAATTTTAGTAAAGGTGAGAAAGAAAACAGCGATAAGAACACATTACAGACAAACAAAAAAGGGATTAAAGCTCGGTAAGTGCATTTGATCATACTGAGCGCATCAAATCAATATCCATAATCGTCAAATTTCACATTCTCTATCTATAATCTAAAATCTCTCAAAGTTAGAACGAGGTCTTACTTGTGGACATGATTAGAGAAAACATAGAATTGTCTCGCTGGATTGCTGCATAGAGCTCTGATCCTATTGTAAACAGATCTATTCCTGTTCTTAACCTCGTCCAGGACAACAGACAGAACAACAACACTGTCTATGGCCTGATTCTCCAACAGATCAATCTACCAAACCGAAGAGAGAGATTTATAAATTAATATAGAAAATCTGAGAAGCACAAAAATTCAAGCTTTATGTATAGAATCAAAGGAAATTACTTGGTGAAGAACGACGTTGGTGTCCACAACAATAATCTTAGGAGAAGACAAGCGAGCAGCTGAAGTATCGCAAGACTTGCAAGAAAAAGCTCCACAGTATATGTCATCTCGTAGATAAACCTCTCTCACTTGCTGTCGCCACAAAATTAACAAAAAACAAACTAAAACCTCGAGAAGGAAGAAGAAGATACAATCATAGATAGAGAGAGAAGAGAAAGAGGATACCTTTTGAATTCGCCCTCCTCTTGTTTTCTTATTGAAAACTTTGCTCTGCAACATCTTCTTTAACCTCTCTCTCGCTGAGAAAATTTCGCCGGTGAAAGAACTCAGTCGTCGGAAGCTTTTTTTTTTAAATCCCTTAAACCTAAGCTAACAAGTGAACCTCTTTCTTTGTAAACAAAAACGACGCCGGTTTTATTCCGGTTCGGTTATTTTCTTCATAACCAGCTCGGTCTGATTAATATAAACCGTATCTACTATCAATGGCAATTTCGTAGTTTTGATTCTTTCTAAACCCTTCTTCCCGCCGTTCAAATCTCGTCGTCTACTATTTCACGCCGGAGAGAGAAAACTATCGAGAAAACAATTAGAAATAGCGAGGAAGTTCGAAATCGAAAACCAAATGGATCTGATCAAATCCGTGGAGATCTCTAAATCTTATGGATCCGATCGAATCTGTGGAGACGAACTGATTGTTCCGATGGTTGCTGCTGATGTTGAAGAATGAATCAAACGGTGCCGGTGCGGCGAAAAAATGATATCTTTGGCCGGAGCTGAGCAAAGATCGAGACTTTACAAAATTATTGGTAAATGCATGCGATATGAAAACTCGGGTCGATCCGTTTTGTTAAATCACTGGAATTCTGATATAAAAATCAACAACCCACTAATCAAAATTTAATTTTTGGTGTTGTTTCTTAAAAAAATCTCTTCTTGTTCACTACTAAGGTAAAATTTGCATTTGTTCTTGAAGGTTTACTGGTTTGCACATACATCGTTGATCTGCTTCTCAAAGATGGCAAATCATTATTTATATGTTGCAAGTGTTTCTCTGCGCAAAACAGATTTCAAAACATATCCTAAGATGCAAGAAAATGAACTTTCAAAGTTGAACCGGTGTTGCGTCAACAAGAGAAATGCAAGAACCAAACTGCATACAAACGATATATTCTTAGTCTGAACTGAAATTGTTGTCTTTATTTTTCATTTTTTTGTAAATGTCTTGAAAGCTTTGGCTGATTCACTGGACCGAGCCGTGGTGAGTTTCTTTTTCTTTGTCTTCACTGTCTTATTTCCGTAGCCACTGTTCTACAACGGCAACTTGCTTCCTTGTTTTAAATAGCTTACTTTCTCGCAGCTCAATCTTTAAAAAATTGACATTGGCTAATGGATGTGAGATTTGTGATATGCATCACTAGTAATCTTGTGTGTTTTCTTGATAACCATATGGCTTTTCATTAAATTCATGTAATACTTGATACAATTGGGTCAAGAATGAAGACTTGCTAAAGGTACAAATGGAACCAGAAAAAAAAATCTGATCTGTTATGATCAGATTAAGAGAGAAAAGAATGTTGAGATCCCTTGACGAGAGGATCTTTGTTGCCTCTGTTTCCCTCATTGAAGAGAGATGTAAATCTTGTTGTTCTTGCACAGAATTGCAGGTTTTTTCCTAGACTAACAAGTGAAGGAAGATTGTGGACCAAACAGTGAGGGCCAGAATCGCAATCAAGTATGTCCAAAGCATGAGCACTGAGCACTCGTCTTGCCCAACATTATACAGCTGTGTCATGGTACCTGTAAGAGTATTCAATTATTGTCATTCCCTGTGAATATATACTATTGTTTTGAGATTTTCAGCTGATGGTTTACAGAGACTGACCGATATTCATGGCAGGAGGGAGTGTGAACTGAAGCATTAAAACATACTGAAACAAAGGATCTTGTGGAAGAAACCCGAAGCTCTCAGCTGTTTTGACGACTCCTATACCGATAATCGGTAGAATTATGTACCGAACACAGACTATTCCAAGTACAACCACTGGTTTGACTGCCGAAGAACGTAAACCTGGATCGATTTGAATCACACTAAGCTCGTAAGTTTTCTTCTTTCTTTAACTAAGAGCAAAATTGATCGAGGGAGTTACCTTGTATGAGGTTGCCTCCTAGTATAATCGTCATACATGGAATGGTTCCGTCTCTGCACACAATCGGTTAAAGTTAGAAAACTTAAAGATGGATGTATGCAAATGGTCAAGATTATGGTAACTACCCAAGAAGTTTTGCAGTGCCTTGGATTATACGTAAAGGAGCATCATCACCTATGATAAGATTTCTCAGCCATTTAACTGCACCGAAGAAGAAACCAACAATCTGAAAACAACAAACAAACATGTCACATTTTTCATTGTATTTTGTATGTTAATTCCTTCCTCAGAAGCTAGTTGGTAAGTTTGAACTTACTGCACCAAGTGTTGGTGGTGCGAGAAGCTCCTCTAGTATCTCATGCACCAAGTCTACTCCTTTTCTCCAAAAACCTGTCTCTTCCTTAACCACACTCGTTTTCTTGTCTTGAGATGCACCTAGGAGGAGTTGTGTCTTGTGATCAGCCTCTAAGTCACTATTTGATGATTTAATCGTTGCTTTCTCCGATTCTTCTATGTCTCTTAGTTTCATCGCCGACCCTTTTATCAACCGGAATGTGTAAGTCCATATGTAGAAACCCCCTAGCTGCACCAATTAACACAACAAGATTCAATTTTTACACATCTCTCTCATATCTCTAAAAGAAACAGAGGAATGCTAACATTTACATACCGCCATGGAGAAAGATGCGTAAGAGAGCCCAACGGTTCTACAAACACTCCTGTTACCAAATGGACTCTTGTCCTCGTCGCAGATAGCTGGGACAAGTATGATTGGTAGGTTCCCCATATTCCCTTTTTTCAAAACCAAAATTGAGTTTTGTCAATGAGAATAATACAAAACAGAAACACATTGAATGATGATGACGTTTCATAGGTTCCAAATTTTGTCACATATATGATATATACCTGATGAAGAAGTTGCAACAATAAGACCTTCAAGATAAGGAGGTGGTTTCAGAATCTTAACAACCATCCAACCAAGAATCCCTCCAATTAAGAATGTAAGTCCCATATTCACCGGCATAAACCACCTTTAATTTTCATTCAATAAGAACCAAGAGTTGAACATTTTACCATAATCCAGCAAAGGGTAGAAAAAAAAGGATTTTTTTTTACCATGAGATCATATCCTGAAGTGTGACCGTCTGGGCTAGATTTGCAAACATGAGAGCCGGTGCAAATATCACAAACACCACCTACAATTTGGAATTCTTTTTCAAAAAAAAAAAAAAAAAAATCTTTGATTCTTTGATATGTTCTTCATTAGAGAACCGAAAAATGTTTTAAGATTTGGTTTACCTTGTTCATGGAATTGCGAGCTTCGACAGGGAAGAGCTTGCATCGATCAGTGGCTAAGAAAGCTCCAACAAGACTTATGATAAGAACTTGAATAACTGGCATAGAAGCCACCTCCAACAATGAAAAAAATCCCATCTTTTACGATATTTTTTATTGGAATTATGGTGGTGAATGGATTATTAATATGGGTCAAGCTCGGATCTTGTTTCTCTTCTTCTTCTTCTGCAGTTATCTGCAAAGAAAATATATAAGCCTGAGAAGAGAGCAAAAGTACGACGTAACCACAGATTTTCTATTAAGCAATATGCCCTTATAATACATATTATTTTACCTTCTTGACTCTAACAAAGGCGGCGATGATTAGATTTAAAATCCATAAAACATGACAGAGTTTTGAGTTTTTTGAGGGCTGTGTCATTGGAGAAGTAGAAGAAGTTAAATTCTTCTCACGTTGAAAACTAATAATACCTTTTCTTACCAATTTACTGTGAAATTTGTTTTCACCACCAGGTTCACCGAAACCAATTAATTTATTCTACTGTATTTTATTTTACCTATTTTTACATTCAATTTGATAAGGACAAACTATATTTTGTTTTTATCAACAACAACAAAAATTAGCATTATAAAAAATGAAATAAACAAAATATTTGTCTGGATATGTGAAAAGGATAAGACGATTCTAATTCGTTGTTGGAATTCTTAATCAAAATTTCTTGTTGGAATTTCTTTTTGGGGAAAGTTGTTGGAATTTGTTAATCTATTTTCTTGTTGGAATTGTTAATCTTGGTCAAAATATACTAATACTGTTAAATCTAGAAATTTTTTGTGTGTAAATAACCAATGGTACAAAACATCAAATTGTTCGGTGAATGGTAAACACATATTATTTATTAATATCTTGACAGCACTTAGTTTGGCAAAAAAAATCTTGACAGCACTTTCGAAGCTGCGACGTAAAATGTGATGCCAGACGTTAAGTAAGTTATCAACAACTTGTTAACAAAAAGTATATTAGACGTAATTAACAAATAAAGCATATCAATGGTGGACCCTAGAAGATTCAGGGGGGAAGGGGAGACCCGATTGATTACTTCTACCATTTTATTTTATTTTCGCTAAAACTGGATCTACTATTTTCACAACACGTATTTCATGTGAAATAAAAAATTCTGGTCAAACTTGTCACACATTAATGTTTATAGAAGCGAAACAAAACAAATAAAACATTGTTGTGTGACCAAACCAGATACAAATGTAACCTTATTATGAGAAAAACTGTGTTAAAAACATTTGATATAACTTCAAAAAAACAGTTCAAAAAAATATAGAGATAATATAATTAAAAACCTTTAATCTAGTTACAACGATAACATTGATTTTTTCAACGGAAATCAAAACATTTTCGTGTTAGATTGTTATACAAAAGTGAAAAGTTTGGCCTTATAACTTGAAAAGAGATTTCGCGAGAAATAATATGAGTATTGACAAAAACTTTTATAACAAAAAAAAATAATATCACGTAATTTAAATGCTGTGTTTTTTAACGACAAAAAAAAATGTTGTGTTTTTATATAAGTGTGGTTTACTCTAACCAATGATTTTAGTATAGCATTTCTTTTTCTAGTATTTAAAGGAGTTTCTTTGTTTTGCATTTTCCCCATATATAATAATAATACACATGACACACGCATATGTTAAACAAAGTTTAGGTGAACTAGATGAGTACCTGCGCCGGCTTTTTTTTTCAAATTATTTTATACTTTTTATTGTTTTGTGGTTTTCTTTTCTTTTTCAATTTATATATATCATGATGGTGTATGAGACTAAAATATTACTCGCAGTGTTTTTATTCCCATTGTTTATATCTTTAGATAGATTAATAATATTTTTTGTTATGTTTTTTTGTTATGTAACTAAAAGTTAAGATATACGTACATTAAATTTCTTTGTTCAAACTGTAAAAGAATGATTAGATATAAAAGAATTATTGTCATTTCCTGTGTTTTGTCTGTCTTTTTCTTCTTCTTTGAGGGTTTTAGTTAAGGTCGAAATAGCCAAATCAAGTAATACTGCATATATATGCACATCTAATTTTCAGCAACTCAGTCACCCTGCAAGGATCAAGTGAATACCCCTTCTTTATTTTGTTCTCTTCTCAGTGATAAGAGAGTTATTAAGACAGCATCACAACTGGTCAAAACTAATACGTTTGAAGAGGTCTTTCCTTTATACATTTCGAAGAGATCTTTCCTTTACACATGTATTACGAATTTTTGTAAAAGAAGAAAACATGATTTTTTTATATATATGCCAACACAAAGAAGAGAGACAAAATCACTAAAACGCAAGAAGGTGATAATTTGAAGATGTAACATTTTACCGGGGGAGGGATTTGTACATAGAGAGGTGTCTGAATTACCATACTACGAACACTTTTTCCAATGACAGAATGACTATGTGATCGCACTCTAAACATAACTTCTTCCATGAGTGGATTTTTCTGATACGGAAGCTTCTTCGATCTAACGCTAATGCTGCATCAATGTGAACAACCATTAGTTTTTAGTCAAAGACACTCAAATACTCAGGCAAATCTATATTAAAGACAGCAAATCCAAGATAATTAGTGAATTACAACCACTTCATATCTTCTCTCTTTCCATACATAACTAAGAGCTTTTTAGTGATGATGGTAATTCAAATTATTCGAATTGTTTATAACTCTAAATATTCCATACTACATCAAAGCTCGAACTATTAATGAATAGCAAAAGGAGCAGAAATTGAGAGAATATACCAGTGTCTAGAGACATAAGATTTGTGTGAAGACATGTCTCCAATAATAAACATAAGATTTACGAAACAATCATAGTGATGGTAAGATCTACTAAAGCACATTGAACAGCAAAATACCTTGAAACAGAATTAGAGACGTAGCTGAATGCAAGGTTTTAAGAAGAGAACAATAGAAATCAAATGAGAAATGGACCAGATATGTTAGAAGGAGATTGTTAGTGAGCACAGAGGACGTCTCAAACAGTGAGGCCCAAACGGGTGCAAATGTGAGATTTTTCGTTTGCCTTTTTAGTGGATACCTGATTTTTTCAACCATTACTGTTTTCCCCTAATCCAATACTAAAATTGATGTCTTCGTCCTACTCCAACACCGTCGAGCCACTGCTAGAAACTGCCACCAGTCATTGTTTTCCTCACAGCAAAGCTCCTTCTTTGGAACTGAAATAGCTGAACTTACTTAATAATCATTCAACTGAAATCGGATTCAAAGAAGGAAAGACTGGAATTTTTCAGGAAAGTAGGAGAAGCGACAATGGGGGGATTGGCCTGAACACTCGCACATAGCCCTCTTTCTTTCTTTGCCTATCTAATCAGGTGGACTTGTCAAATTTTACAAACCTAAGATTTTGATGGAGATAGAGATGAGACAAGACCTGTATTATTTGTTAACCTCCCTACACGGCTACACGATTGAGAAGAACACGAAGTCTCCATCTATATGGTGAATTCCTTCTCCTTCGATTCCAATCCCTTCATCAGTCGATGTAGGGTAGGTCATTTTTTTCTGGGAAAAAAAAATCAGAAACATAGAAGATAAATAGAAAATCTACAACTAACAGACCTTATCCATCACTCAAATCTGCAGGCTTTTAAAGTCTAGAAAATTGATCCATTGTTACAATTTACGAACCCAAACATTGTAATAATTAGTGTGTTTGAATGATTCTACCTAGAACTATCTACAATTGAGGAACTGCCATTAAGGTTCAAACAATCCAAAGCAGAATTTTAAAGACGCAAGAAATTTTAAATCAAACACTACAAGAAAGATTGGGTTTTACGTCGGCCGACGTAAATTCGACGTAAAAGAGCATTTACGTCGAATTAATGACGAAAAAAAAAATCGTCGTAAAACGATCGTCGTAAAACCGAAATCGTCGTAAAATCGTCGTAAAATTACCAACCCGGGAAAATCGTCGTAATATCGTCGGAAACTATTCGTCGTAAACGCGACGTAAAGTTTCCAACGAAAGTACAACGAAAGAAGTCCATCATAAGAACGACGTAAAATCGATGTAACAACGATTAGGAGACGAACAATTTCAATTAAGGGAAACTAATTTTTTAATTGTCGATGTTAATTCGTCGTAAAGTTTCGACGTAAATCCGACGTAAACATATTCGACGTAAATTCGTCGTTAATAATTCGACGTTAGATCGACGTAAATTTACAACGATTTTACGTCGATTTATAAATTCATATTCGACGTAAATTCGTCGTTAATAATTCGACGTTAGATCGACGTGAATTTACGACGAATTTACGTCGATTTATAAATTAATTATTTAATTTGATTTTAATTTAATTAATGAATTTTTAAAATAATTAAAAAATTAAAAATAGAAAACAACAATTTAAATTGAAATTTAAATTCGAAAATAATTTATAAATAAAAGAAAAAATTTAATACAAATTATTTTTTACAAAAAAACCTAATCTACAATGTGATTTCGTAATCGTCGAGGTTGAGATCGACGTCACGAGGAGGCTCTCCGTCTTGGCCGCCCCTCGCTGCTGGGCCGTCGTTTCCCGTCTGCACTACCGGAGCCGAAGACTGACCCTGTGTCTGCTGGTCCGATGGTCCAGTACCGGAAGTACCACCGGTCTCAAAAACCCTTCGTGCTCGCTGTTGCCTCGCTCGGATTGCGGTGGCCAACTGCGGAACCGCTTCTGCAACGATGTCGAAGAGATCGTGTATCTCGGTGAGCTCCTGCTTCTGGGCCACTTGTTCATGCCTGAGAGTGGTGATCTCAGCATTGGCCGTAGCAAGCTCCTGGCGAAGATGACTCGGATCCTCCTGCGTGCGAAATCCGGAAGCCGAGGCGGCAGGACAGTCTCTAATAGAACCCATCCCTAAGGTTCGGCCCTTCTTCTTCGGAGCAACCTACAAATGGAAAATGAAAACGTTAATTATTTATTAAGTAATAAATATAATAAATTTTAAAAAAATTGAAATAGATCATACCTCTTCGAAAATCTGGTCTTGCTCAGCGACGGTCAACGGTACTTGGATAGTACCGTCAGGTGTGGCCTGGGTCTCCCGCTCGGCGATCCG